TCGCGTGTGGGACTGGGGCGGCCAGCGGGCTAACTGGGGAGAAGTGGCGGTGGCGAGAAATGGCGGCAAGAAGCTGCCAATTACCTGTATTTACATTCATTCCTATGGGCAAATGGGTTTCACTTAGCGCTCAGTTTTTCTGGAACCAATTAAGAGCACTAAGTGGGGGTTGCCTGTAGCAGTATGAAGAATAATGCTACTTTGCACTTCTCTAGGGCCTTTCATCCTTGTCTCCACAAGCACATCACAGACATTCAGAAAGTCTAGAGAAATTCACCAGTTGGCACGTGTGATCTTTGCAGAGACAGATTTTTCTAAAAAATGCATATAAAAATATGTTTGGCAGCTTTAAAAATTATAAACAGTATACTGGAATAAAAGATGGTTTTATGACTGGAAAGCTGCTATAACAATGGCACTTGCCAAGCACACAAGCTAATCACAATCTTGCTACATTGAAAAAAATCAAGACACTAATCTTTACATATTGGCGCTCACACAGAGTGACTTTTTAATGCCATGCCCATGTAAATAAGAACTCCTGAGCTGTGGAAAATCCTTCTGCCACTTTCAAAACTATCTAAAGTTCAACTCAACAACTATGTACAACTCAGCAGTAATCATGGCAGTCCTTTCCTCACTCCTAGGAAGAGGTGGTATTAGAATGCTGAGATGTTCCTAATCTTAGTGTGCTTATGAAACAATCATGTACCTGGCAAGGGAAGTTATATATAGGCAGCTCAAGAGGCTGTGAAAAAAGATGCAGATTCTTCAAGTTCAAAGGGTCTTCCCAGAGCTAGTAAAGCTCTCAGGGTCTCTCCTATCCCTGCCACAGAGCACAAGCTGCCCTTTAGCTACAAAAATATTTTAAAAGTTGAATTATCCTTGGGAAAAAAGACATACATTTAAATTAAATTTGGGCTAGCTTTGCTAACCTTGTGAGCCAAAAGTTAATGAGAGGTTTGGAAAACCTCAAATTCCCCAAGGTTCTTTCAACCCCTCTAGAAAGAGTGATGACTAAAAGATGACTACTTATGTGCCAAGAAACCCAGCCCGTGGTTTTGTGGCACAGAAAATTGCATGTTACACACAGCATCAACCAAGTTCAATCCACTTTGTCCATGTCCATAATGCTGTTAAGTAAATAAGCCCTTGTTCATCTTCTGTGAGACGGAAAACGATTTGGTCTGTTCTAAGAAACTGAAACCTAAGGAACCCAGGCAAATGCCAGAAGCATTGCTCACACCTGACAATTCACTGCTCCACCCCAGCAATAAGATTAAGGGGATTCCTTACTGACAGTGGCTATTGTATTTTCTGGTATTCCAAGCTGCCTGGGGCTTGGAATCTTCCTCTGCCAGGTACATGGCTGTTACATAAACATGGTAAGATTAGGAATACCTCAGCATTTTTACATCACCTCTTTCTAGGAGTAAGAAAAGAATGACTGAGATTCTGTAAAGGATGGAGAAAGCACAGGAGGGGAATGGGTGTTTCTGAAGCTCTTTTTGAGTTAATCAAATTCTTTGCTAAAGCATATTCATCCTCCCTCCAGGTGAAGCAGCAGAACTGAATATTTATAGCGTACCCTCCTGAAGGACCAAATCTCTTTGGCACCCATCTTACTCTGAGGGTTGGTCAAATCATACAATCCCCCCTTTGCAGAAAAAGGAGAAATGCTAATGTAATGGAAATGGGCTCAGATGTTAAGCACTGACATGAAAACATTCGCTTCCTTCCCAAATGCAGACATAGGCTGCTAATGGCTGGGAGATACAGCTAAGTCTTTGGGCATCACCAAATTTTGTCATAAGTCAAAGCAGCATGTGCTGCTAGTAGTGAAATCTACAGACAGATTACAGTTTACAGAGAAGACACGAAGAGTAGTGGCACATACTCAGACTTGGAGAGATCCATGTTGGAGACAGCTGGTACCACATTCAGCATTGGAATACAAGCTGGCCTGACAGAAGTGCGACCACGCTGGATAACCTCTTGAACATACCTAAAGAACAATCTCAGAAATTAGACAGGGTTGGCTAACCATCTCTATTGTCAGGCCGCTGCACAATACAGATTTTAATAAGGTGGTTGCAGCACCTCAGTCACTGGGTAGAGTAGGAAAAACCATGTCCCATTTTTTTCCACCTCCCTGGTAGCAGGAAGGGCAGGAGTTCAAAAATCAGCTCTTCACAACAAGATACACCTATGTGTATTTTAAAGCAATCAAATGGCCCTAGGTCATAGACATGGATTGAAAAAGTTTTTGGAGTAGCCACCCTTCCCATAGATGCATATACTCCAGAGGAATCTACTCCTTTTCTAGTTTGGCTGCTTGACCTGGTTTTGAATAAAAACGGTTTCCTGATGGAAGACTGATAATGTTACACAGAACTGCTGTATTGGTCAGATGGATGCTTTTCCTATCTCACCTCTATAATATACAGAGTTTGGTACAGTTACACAGATCTCTCAGCTTGGATGGTAGCTGTTTCAGTTGTAAATAAGCCTTACACACAGATGTTATTAAAAAGAACTTGGTGGTGTGATTAAGCACTCACACAAAAGGTTGACAGCTGATTAGAAAGGAAAGGTTTGAACAAAATGCCTTGCAGAGAGCACTCAGCTCTGTGGAAGTAATCCTGATAAGGAAGCAGCCCAGGGTACTTGGCTCCTGCACATGCCCCACAAGACCTCAGAACAACAAGATATTTCCTTCAACCCCTCTGTGAGCAGTGATCGCATTGCATCTGCCTAGTGTGCAAGTGATTCCAGTGATAGTAAAGCAAGATCAAAATGTTATCAAACTGGAAGAAGCAAATCTATCAGGTGCAACTGATGTGCACATAATGCACTTTCCCTTTGAAACTGCAGAGCACTTTATTTCTAACAAGCTGAGATTGGACTGAAAATGGCTATTCAAGTGCACCTTCCAATACAGTTGGAGACTGTTCCATTGCTACCTTGTTCACTAGCTGTCTGCCATTCCAAGGAAAAAACCTCACATGCCAAATATTTGTCCAATTGTGCCAACATTAAATGTTCTGCTGGATTGTTTAAAAAGATAAAGTGTGAACAACTCCAAAAGAACCCTCCCACAGTGGATACTTCTATATGGCTTCCAGTCGCACAGAGCTACTCGGTCTTCAGTGCTATCAGCTTGTTAGTGGTTGTTGTTCTAACTTGGATTTGGTACCTAAGCCATTTTGTAAGGCCTTGTAAAAGAGCAGAGTAAACATTACTACTGGTGCAAGGCACAGCTAATCAACTAGCCTGAAGTCTGATTCTCTGCCCTCATCATGGCTTCATTCATTACAGACTAACTGCATATCGAAATACCTGCTGGAGAGCTAGGTGCTTTAATAAACTACGTCTATTACTTGAAAACACTTTTAATCTTAAGTTCTGGTAGAAACTATCACCTACCAAAGGGTTTTTAACATCTAATGGGGAATGTAAACTAAACAAACTACCTGAGGGAAACAGTGGGTCACGGTGTATGTGACACTAAGCATTTCTGTTGCCTTCCGAACACCTCACAATCATGCATGTACTTCCTAGAGTAGAGCTCCTCCCCCCCCACCTCATTGTACATAGAGAAAAAGGCAGATTTTTTGCAAGCAAAGTATCAGTATTGATATCAGTCTTGGCCACTAGTACAGACAAAATGGCCTGCTGTTGTATTTTGCTTCTTTCCCAGAGACAAAACTCAGTGGGGACCAGCGTGTTGTTGGCTCAGACAGAATTCACTCTCATCTACAAGCAGCTTATTTTTAGGATTAAGGACAGAAGACAAGTGAGGACTCTCTGACTTCCAGAGTATCTATCAAAGAAGCAGGGGGTGGCTAACTGGTAAATGTGTATGGTACAAGGAATTTTGAATGGGGAAATTAACCTTCCCAGAGACATACAAAAGTTGAGCACCCTTTGAAAAGCCACAGAGCCAGTATCTTGTAATCCTGCTTTTCTTCTGAGGGGAGGGAGCCTGTGTCCTTCAGTCACCCTGGTTCCTTTTTGCTTTCCTCCTTGCATTGCTCCCCTAACCTGAGACAGGCACTGCACCAGACTCCAGTTTCATGGAGCTTCCAATTCTGTTGCAGCATCCTCCCCAATGAAGTGAATGGCACATTAAAATGCTGTTCTGCATTCTTGAAGGGGTCAGCAGTACTGTATGGCTGGAGGTCCTTGCCAGCTTGGCTTTTTGATATTTTCTACTTCCTATTTCCACTCTACCTGTATCTGAATCCCTGCCTTTGTCACCCTTACGATCTCAGCCAGCAGCATTATCCCAGGCCTATTTTCAGGCCCACCAAACGACTAGCTGTAAAAGGATGCTGGTTCTAGCAAGGCACTGGTTCAAGAGCATGCTCACTGAAGCATCAACCCTGTCAGCCCATAACATTCAGCAGGGGAGCTTCTAGTTTCAGAAATTCTTGGCTCCCATGGGGGCTACTGTGTTTGTTCTGGAAGGGCGATTAAACAGCTCTCAGAGAGAAGAACTTGGGCCCCTTTGCCTTTTACTAACAGCTCTATCAATTATACAGCTTGCATCCGTTCCATATCTGGCTACAGCTTCCACACAATGCCATGTAGGCCCAACATGGAATTTTGCTTACAATATTTTCTAAATTATTATATAATATGCCTCTAAGCCTGGGCCTCTGTTTACCAAGCATACATCTATGCATTTTTGGGGAGGGTGGTTGACTTCTTAACTGATTATTTGGAGCCAGAAGAACAATCCTTATTCAATTATATCAGTTGAAAAGCTGACCAAATAGATGGGGCTTACTCCTATTTAGGAGTTATTTTAATTAACTGATTGTAAACCTATCCTCTCATATAAATATTGCATTCATCTGATGGCAGTTGCATGAAAAAATACGTTAAACCAGGCAATTACTGGGCACCTTGAAGAAGGTATACCAGTGTTTGTAAGTAGTCAGCCTCTGAGGTTTATAGCAGCATTCTAGATATATCAGAGTGTATGAGTGATTGTATGCAACCTCCATTATAAAAGGAAGCAATCATGGCAATGAAGATCTTTAAGCTATGCCTTTCATCTAAGAAGTTTAACATGCTTCATACCTCCTTTTCAAGGTAATGCAGGGACAGAACTATTATCCCTGTGTCACTGGCAAGTAAACTAAGTGGTAAAGTGACTTGGTTGTGAACTGTACAAGTGCAAGACCAGAATTAGAATCCAGGATTTCTGACTCCCCCTAGTCTACTCTCATCACCAGAACAATCTCTGCTACTTTGGCTTCTAAAAGCATGAGGAATATGTTAAGTACCAATCATCTTATTGCTTTCAATTTGAAAGAATCTCTTCTCAGTGTGGTACATGTGTCTGGGGTTCCAAGGCAACACACCAAATAAGGACCATTAAAATTACATTTTGGTGTAAACCAGCTTAGTACTGGCACAATGCACAAGTTAAAAACAAGTGAGCTCTCCAATGCAGGAGTTGGTGGCAGTAGGTGAACCCTAAATGTGCCTGGCCCAAGCAGAGCTCCAGGGGCTGCTTGCACAGCTCCTCTCCATCTATCAGGGTTGAACTTTGCTTTTTATGCTTTCAACACAAACTACACCACAGAGGGAAGCAACCCTGATCCCTCCATTTATGGGACACACTTCTGAGTCTCGGGCAGTTTTTGTGCCTATCACTCCTTAGTCACTGTTCTGCTCCCTGAGAGCTGTTAGGCTTTGTGCTCTGGAGGGTACAGTGTGAAGATATCTAGGGCTTGCTCCCACTTCACACAGTCTTTTTGTTCATTGAATCCTGAAAACTACAGTTGGAATAATGGAATAGAGAAGAGACAACCTGTTCTTAGCTTCATGGTAGTGCTTATGGGATATCCTCCCTCACCATGGCCCTTCTCCAACTTCATCAGACCAAACCACCTTACCTCTGTTTGGGGGGCAGTTTTCCAGCCCTTTTCTCTTCTTCTTCCAGCCGCCTGCGGGCTTCTTCCAGCTGGGTCAGAGGGTTGGGGGCTGGGTTGGGTGGCATGGTAGGGTCTTGAATGAAAGGGTGAGAAGGCTGGACTACATTCCGAAGCTGGGCACTGACCCATGGGTGCACAGCAACAGGTCGCTCAATGGAGAGGGGTCTGGCCATCTCATGAGCCAGCTGCTTCTTAGCACCTGAAGAGCTACACACACACACACAAACACAGGCATTTTACATAAGCAGCCATGTACCTTTACACACTGAGTTGCACATCAGAAAGGGCTCCCAGTAATCCATCATCTAGATCTGGGGCACTTGGCTATTACCAGGCTGCACTGTGGAAACTCTGCAGTAGTGCCTTCCAATAAGGCAGAATATGAAAGTCCATACATCCCAATGCAACTCAAATGAGCAGTTAGGGGGCAGAGTATCCAACAGAGCTGGAATTTAGTTAGGATCCCATGATAAACTCACTACTGTCTGCAAGAAGGCCCTGAGGTTACAATGATAGCACAACCTTCATCTAAACTCTTCTGGAAAGCACTCACTGAAAAGCTGTCTGGATAGTGCTTGTTGAGTTTACTTGGATAAGTGAAACACCTATATTGACCTTAACAGCAGAGACATAATTTGTATTAAATAAAGCTTAAAAGAGAACAGTATACATATACAACATCGATGGTTACAAGTTACAAAACTGTAATCAAACTGTGAAGTAGAGGTGAAATACTGAATTAAAAAAAACTTTAAAAAGTGAACTCAATAAAAATGCTGCCATTTGGCAATAGAAGAGGATTTCTGTATGTGCTTTATAATTCACACCACAGTGTACAGTACAGGCAACCACTGCCTAACGCGGTTTCACTTAGTGCTATTTTGCTATAATGCTCATTTGAAATTCATACCTGATTTCACTTAGCGCTCAGCAAGTTTTGTTATAATGTTCACGGTTGCCATCTCAGGTCATTAAAAACAACTGCAGTCACCACCTTGGGTCATCAAATACTTTTGGTTTTGCTTAACGCTCGTTTTCCTTAACACTTGGTTTTTCAGGAACCAATTACAAGCACTAAGGGGGGCTTGCCTGTATATAAAACCAACAGGAGGTATTCTCCTCCTCCCCCCACCCCCACCTTGCAAAATTCACTTAGCAGGATTCTACAAAACACACTGTGGTACATGATGATAACATTTCCAAGCTGTAAATCCCACTTATGAACTATTTACTGGCACTTCCATAAGCATTAAGTGCTGCAAAGTAGTAAATGTCCTTTTCAAGAAGCACAGTGACTTAAAATCAGATACTCAAGCTTTCTATGACCTTGGCACTCAGACCCTTACTAGCCTTCTGTGAAGTCTGGCAACTCCAGGCGCCATTACAGGATTTCATAGACATTAGTGCTGGAAGGGACCTCGGAAGATCATTGAGTCCAGCCCCCTGCCCCAGGGACAGGAAGTCAGCTGGGGTCATAAGATCCCAGCAAGATTAATGTTCACATTTCTCTTGAAGGCGTTCAAAGTAGGTGCTTGAACCACCTCCGGTGGCAGGCTGTTCCAGACCTTGGGGGCTCGGACAGTAAAGAAATTCTTCCTTATGTCCAGCCTGAAATGGTCTTGCAGAAGTTTATAATCTTTTGACCTTGTCATCCCTTGGGTCGATCTGGTGAACAAACGTTCCCCCAGATCCTGGTGAACACCCCTGATAAACTTACAGGTGGCCATCAGATCGCCCCTGAGCCTGCGCTTTTCCAGGCTGAAGAGTCCCATAGCTCTCAGCCTGTTGTCGTAAGGTCTGTTTTCCTGACCTCTGATCACGCGTGTGGCTTTTCTCTGGACTCTCTCAAGCTTCTCCACATCCTTTTTGAATTGTGAAGTCCAAAACTGGATGCAGTACTCCAGCTGCAGCCTCACCAAGGCCGAGTACAACGGGAGAATGATGTCCTGGGATTTGTTTGAGAAGCATCGTTTGTTTGGGAAACCTTGTCTGATGCAAAGCCAGTGTTTTGCTCGCTTTACTAGCCGCAGCATCACATTGAAGGCTCATGTTCACTTTGTGAAAAATCATGACCCCCAAGTCCCTTTCACCCGTAGTGCTAGTCAGCGTAGCACTGCCAAGCCTATAAGGATGCTGCAGGTTTTTCCTCCCAAGGTGGAGAACCTTGCATTTTTCAGTGTTGAACACCATCAGGTTCTTATCCGCCCATTTCCTGAGCCCGTCAAGGTAAGCCTGGATTGCCCTCCTGTCCTTAGGCGTGGATGCTTTACCCCAAAGTTTGCTATCATCGGCGAACTTGGCCGGTCCACTTCTGACTCCAATGTCCACATCATTAATGAAGGTGTTGAACAGTATAGGTCCAAGGACAGAGCCCTGAGGGACCCCACTGGTCACAGGGCACCACCACGACTGACTACCATCAACCACCACCCTCTGGGTCCGACCACAGAGCCAATTCCTCAGCCAGCAGATCATGGTGGACCCGAGGCCGCAGTTGGCCAGTTTTGCCAAGAGGTGATCATGGGATACCAGATCTAAGGCTTTTTTGAAGTCAAGATATGCGACATCAATCTCCTCTCCCTTGTCCAGGTGACAGGTCACCTGGTTGTAAAAGGAAATAAGATTGGTCAAGCAAGACCTACCCACAACAAACCCATGCTGGCTATCCCTCAGGATGTTGGCATCGGCCAGTCCATTAAAGATGGCCTCTTTAATAAAGAATGGCCTGTTTGATAATCTTTTCTAAGACCTTCCCCAGGAAAGATGTCAGGCTGATGGGCCTGTAGTCTGTAGTCTGCTGGATCCACTTTCCTCCCTTTCTTGAAGATAGGCACCACACTGGCCTTTTTCCAATCATCGGGAACTTCAGAACACCAGGAGTTCTTGAAGATCCATGCCAGGGCCTGAGCTATGATGCTGGCCAGCTCCTTAAGTACCCTGGGGTGTAGATTATCAGGGCTGGAGCCCTGACTTGAAGGTGTCCAACCTCTCAAGGTGTTCCTTCATGAGGTCAGCATTGATGGAGGGCAATAAAAGGGAGGATAAGAAAAGGTAGTAAAGATTTTACAGGTAGAACAAAAGCCAATTGCTGGAATCCCCTTGCACGCACAGGGAATGCCAAGAGCTTCTAATCCAGTATTGTGAGGGCATGGTTTAGGTTGGCCACATGGAGGACAAGCGGGTCAGACTACTGACTTGTACTTCACACAGTAGGAAAAGTTTTGCAGTAAGAATGTAGTTAATAATTCTGTTGCTGATGCACAGCTAAGCTAGAACCACATCTTTCTGCCATT